CCTCTGGTCTCAATTGTATATTAATCTTTAAAATCCTCTGAATCAGTGTATGTATTTGAATTCAAAATTTTCTAGCTTTTTGACACATCCACCAAGCATGATAAAATGTCCCTTGTTCATATTTCCAACATGAATTTGAAATCCTTTTTTTATACATTCTAGACAATTTCTCTGGTGACATATACCAACAGTACATCATTTTATAAAAATTCTCTTTTAAAATTTTAACATAGTGTAAATTTCAGTCATATTCAACCACATATTTTCCCATTGTTCCATCCAATTTTTAGCCTACTTTATCATACATTCTTTCACTTTTTTTCTTCTGTTTCAAATTTCAATAGAAGTTTATACGCTTTAGCAATGACATGTTCATCATTTGTACACAATTCCATTTCAAACTCAGTCTTAAGTATTCAAAACCATAAACTCTTTTGTCTAATGTAATTTTTCTAATAACTGTAAATAAGAAAACCATTGGCAATTATATCCCTGTGCCACCAGTTCTCTTGATTTTATTTTGTATTCCCCTTGACAAAATTCTAGTATTTTGTGTTTGCCTATTATTTCTCGTCTATGAAATGCTTCTTGTGCTGAGAGCCACAAAGGTGTTTTCAGGCACAACCTGGGTTTGCATCTATTCCATATTCTCAATATGGCACGTCTAATGTAATGATTTTTGAAATCCACATTAACCTTGACTTTGTCATGCCACAGATACCCATGCCACCCAAATCCTAGGTCATGTTCTTCTGATTGCAAAAGCCTTCTATTTCTCAGCAGCACCCACTCTTTCATCCAAACCAAACAGCAAGCTAAACCCAATTCTCCTTTTTCCTTTGCATCCTGTAATACCTTATATTTGTCTGATTCACCTAAGGATTTTTAATGAAACACTTGATATCTACAGAAAGCATATCATAATGAATTTATAATGTCTGAGATACTTCCAGATTCCATTTTTTATTTGTATGAATTCTTTTGAGTTATAGTCTGCATTATTATTATCCATGAAATCAGCAAAAGTCAAATTCAAACCTGAAAGAGATTCTAATGTGGTTATTTTAAGGCTAGAGCTTTCGTGTAGAAAAAGATTGTGGCTTGGTGCTTTTCATAGCAGCCTTGTTTATGTTTATGTCTCTCAGTTTGGTGGCAATTCTTAGTTTTTCTGTGCATACAGTATTTGCAGACTTGTTAAGCGTAGCTGAATTAGATTTTTCAGGTCTTTTTATTACAACTTTGTCAATCAAATTGGCATTTTTAGTAAAACTGGCTGCATAAATTAATTTGTTCACATTAGTGATTTTTATAAAGTACTGTGTAAAGTACTGATTTTTTTTAAAAAAAATAACATTGTGAACAAATCTACTTTTGTGGGAATAAGTAGGTATGTGGTCTGCTTGAAAAAGAAGACAGTGACATTTTTACATCCTAATTGATTCCTCTTTTCTTTATAGAGCTAAATACCACAAGTTAAAATATGGTACAGAGCTGAATCAGGGAGATATGAAGCCACCAAATTATGATTCTGGTAAGAATTAATTTGTATAGAGGAAAACAGTTAAGACTGGAGAGAAAACGTGTCAGTTCGTAAAGAATGCTGGCCTGGAATAATTTAGCATGAGCCAGTGTTTAGGGCTCATAAGAGAGCACCATACTGTTCCTTTTCACATGCGGATTCTTCTTCCTATGCTTACTTAAAATGAAACTTAATCTGCCACCACAGCCAGTCCTATAACTTAGTCTTCAAACCTTGATATTAATTTTGTCTCAACTGTGCCTGTATTTTGCAGCATAAAATAATAATGAGTGATCATATGGTTAAGTTACTTGGTAGGTTGCTTCTCAATTTTTTTGGTAGATAGTCAGAAAAATAATTAACTTAGTGTATCAGGAATAACATCTGGACAAAACCTATGCACAAACCTTTTACATGGAATTTGTAGAAGAAATATTTGCAGGTATTAAAAGCAATGTAATCAATATGGGATTGAGAATTCATTGCATTGGAGGTGGCTGGATAATTGAAATGGATGGATTTCTGGGGTTCAGACTCAAATTGAAGCTGACTTCACTTCCTAGGAAACTCCTTTTAAATCAGAAAAGTGGAGTCAGCAGTGATCATAATACATCCTCCCTCCAGTACTATTAACCTAAATGCTTCTTACTTTCTGTTTGAAATTGCAGGAATTCAGTGTATATTCTATGTACATAATTAGGTTGGTGTAATTATTTTCATTTCCTATCTTAAACATGCTACTTAGAGCATACTAAATTTTCTACAGACATATATGTTTAGGAGTAACCATAGAATAATATCTAGTGTATTTTATATTATTTAAAATTTCAGTACAATATCCTTCATTTTGTTTCACTGTTATTTAAATAGGTTAAAAACATTTAATCACTGCTAGAAGATAAATGTGGGTAAAACTGATTCTTCTAACATCGTTACTATACTAATTTTAGTCTTCTCTTTGTCTTTCAGATGAAGGAAATGAAACTGAAGTTCAGTCACAACCTAACAGTCAGTTAATATGGAAACAAGGGCGACAGTTACTCAGACAGTAAGTTGTCAAAGAATAATAAACTGAATAATGATTTCATAATATGGTGGGAACAAACAAAATACTAGTATTTGCTTTCTTCCTAATCTGGTAGCCATAATGATTAAAAGTTAATAAAGTGCTATGAGTTCCTCTTTTCCTTAACTTGCAAAAGCTATTACACTGTGGTAAAAAGGTACAGTTTTTATGGTAAAATTACCTGTACAGTTTGTTGATAAGACTTTGTTTTGATTTTGTCTCTTGTAATGTTTGGCTTATAAAAGTCACTGCTCTGGATTTAGTATCTTCCTCCCAAGTTTCCAGTGGTGGAAAGATGAAGAGAGGAGGCAATTATTGCTGGTTTCCTTGGTTTCCCCCTTATAAAAGAATATAGCTGAAGATGTGTAAGGAATTTTTCTTCTTGGCTAACATAATGAATAATTGTGTATGCATGGATAGAAGAGCTCTCTACTTTTCATGGGAATTGTAGAGGCTGGTACTGCAGGAGACACCCCCTCTACAGCTGGTACAAGATGATTTGTAAGCCTGTTGTGTCAGCAAAAGGCACATTATTCCTCTTACCACTTAAATTGTTGATCAGTTCTGGGTAGATTGTTTCAAATGATCAACACATTTGATAGCTCCTGAGTAATTGCCATGTTGTTGTTCGTACAGATACCTGCAAGAGGTGGGATATACTGACACAATCCTGGATGTGAAGTCAAAACGGGTACGAACTTTGCTGGGTCTCTCTGGTGATGGTCCAGAGAGGGAAACTGACAAAAACCAAGAATCAATGGTGAATGGCACTGATGTTGAGATTAAACAAAAAGTGATGATTGGGTAAGTGTTCTTAACAATGGGAAATAGTAGAAATTGTACTTTAAAAACCTGTGTGTTAAAAATGTAGGGTATATATTATACCAGTATGATAGAATGAGGATGCTGTTTTTTTTAAAGGAAGTAATAGGCTTTCTCTCTCCCCATTTCTATTTCTTGTAAGCTATGTAATTGTTATATTGAGAGGGAAAAAAACACTACTTGATCTTTGACTTCTTTCTCTAACCAATGTTATGCTAGTCTTGAAAGACTTGCATCCTGTGATATGCCGTGTTTTCAAGACTAGCATAGTTTCTGTGAGAGAAAAATCACGAGACCCAGTGATGATCACTGTTTACCTTCCCAGATGTCATTACAGTAATTTAGAATATTGGTACAGTGTAAGGTAGTAATTAGCTTCTACCAAATAATTTAGAAACTGTCATGGATGGAAATCAGAAGAAAATAAAATACAATTTGCTTGTAGGAAGAATTAATTCATGGACTCTGCATTTTTGGAGTTCTGTACTAATCTAGGACAACTTAATTGGTGGGAGTATACTTTTATTTATTGTTACCAAAATAGTTATAAATCAACAAATGAAGCAGACACAGGACAAGGAAACATCTTTTAAGAGCACATTTTGTATCTGCTGTTCCCCAAAGTGATGTAAAGTTGGCATAATGCTTCCTTAAGGAAGAATTCATCATTCTGTCCATAGTATTCTTTACGCAAGCCAGTATGTTTGCTAATGTACAGATCCCAGTGAAACTTTTATACTCAAGAGCATCGTATGAGTTGGGATGCATCCTGGAAGATTTCAAGCCCATCCATGGAAACATTATTTTGATAGTTTGACAGATATAATCCTACTCTCACATGTTTCATAATGTTTAATGAAAGAAATGTTGCACTTCTTCAGATCAGCAGACTTCTTTTATAAAAGATAAGTACCATATCTCAGCATGAATGAAGTCCACAGGGAATACTAAACAATTAACTTTGATATTAATATTTAGCATTTCCAGTGTTTGCCGTGGATATGAAGGATGCATCTTGCCATTAACATGTTTTTGATAGAAGAAAAACAAATAAAAATGCCTTATTTTTGGTATAGCCTTGCATGGTATACCAGTTAGTTTTCATTTAATCTCTGCTTCTTTATTTTAATGTTAGTTTTCCTTTTCCAAACTGAGTAACTAATATTTAGGTCTGCATTATTTAATACTGGATATATGATATATAATAATGTCCAAAACATGTCAAACATTCTGATTTTTAAGATTGACTTACAAGGGGTATCATTGTAAATCTGCTTTTTGTTAGGCAATATTGACTGAAAACTTACTTTTGTTTAATATCTTTTTATTTTGTTAAAATGCAAAAATAAAAATATTTCTCATATTGACACAATGTAACATTTGAATAGGTTCATAATTCACTGACTTAACTTCAATTTCAAATATCACCCCTACAAAAGGATTCACATAACAGATGAGCAGATATAAAGACTTGTGAAGAACTTAGAAATGATTTTTAAAACTTACGTTTTGCTGTGCTAGATGGACCTTTGCTTCTGAATAACAGGCCAGTTCCTCCCAATGTGTATTCTTCCTTGTTAGTTTTTACTGTTCGGAGCCTGTGGCTTGTCTGAATAGAATAAACTTGCACTAACCCAAAGAAGAGACTTTGGATTTCCACTGATCATCTTCCTACACCTTCAGCCTCCTGCATTGCATCAGATGTTATGAAAGATCTCTGCATGCTTAGGAACAGACACAGAGGCTTTACAGGAAGGAGAAAGTAAAAATGCCCTTTCTACAATTGGGACGCTTCTTAGCATTCTTAAAATTCAAATCCTTCTTCCATCTTTCCAATATGTCCTGTTCTTGGGATTATAATCACTACCATTCTTTGCTTCAGACTGGTTGGCCTTTTATGATAGCACATTTGACAACATCATGAAGCCAGTTCCAAAAATATGCTGAAACATATTTTATGCACACCCATTGAAAGAAATGCCATTAAATTAGCTCAACACAGTTTAAATGTATAAGAAACTTTTTTTAAAACCCCAAACTGGAAATCTGTAGGACTATGTTTAAGCATTTGTACAGGTAGTCCTCAACTTACAACCATTCGTTTAGCAACCATTCAAAGTTACGATGGTGCTGTAAAAAGTGACTTATGACTGGTCCTCACACTTATGACTGTTGCAGCATTCCCCCATGGTCACATGATCAAAATTCGGGCACTTGGCAACCGGCATGTATTTACAACGGTTGCAGCATCCCAGGGTCACATGATTTGCCCAGCTGCCTTTCTAGCTAGCAAAATCAATGGAGAACTGTGTGATTCGCTTAACGACTATGTGATTCACCTAACGGCCATGGCGATTCGCTTAACTGCCACAAAAAAATGTAAAATCAGGTGCGGTCACGTGATGCCTCACTTAACAACCACACCGCTTAACAACAAATTTTCCGGTCCCTATTTTGGTTATAAGTCAAGAGCTACCTATACTGAAGTGCTATCTGTAACAACGTAAGGTGGTTTTCATTATGGAAAACAAATAATATTTAATTTTAATATTTAGTTTTAAATATTTTCACCCCATTTGTGCCTTTCCTGAAGGCTTAGAGCAATCATCTTAAAATCCAGGTCCCTTCAACTGTGAGAATCATCATTTGACACTGGAGAGCTCTGAATTGAGGAAGGGTAGTTTAGAATTAGGTTCTATTGCTTCTGCTCTTCCTGCCATGTTCAAAACTTCATCTAACCACTGATTTGCAGAGAAAATAAACCATGGAACTGAAGTCTAACTTTTACCTGAAATTAGTTCACAAAAGCTGTACTGAAAATAGGTGATAAATCTTGATTCTGTGAAAGACATAAGTAATTATTCTTCACAGGACAAGTGTAAGTTTGTGTCTGCATTATATGGTTATTTCTTTTAAATTTAATGACATTTTCTTTGATTTTACTGCTGCAGTTCCCAACTCTGTGCCATAGCACCCTGGGGCACCACAGTGAACTCACAGAGGTGCCAGAGAATATTTTAAATTTTTGAGCAAAACACAGCAATTCTTGATATCTGTCAGACACCGTGTGAACTACTACTTTTGGCCTAGGGGTTGCATAAAAAAATTACAGAGACACTAAGAGTGCTATGAACCAAGAAAGTTTGGGAACCTTTGTTGTATTGTATTGATTTTTGATTGTATCATTCAATATATGTTATGATACTTATGATGACTTAGACTGACAACTGCATTTAAAAAATAATTATGCAAATATTTTCAATTTAGTTTGCATAATTTCTTGGGCAACTTGTATAATATAATTTAGAATCTGTTCATCATGGCTGAGCATTTTGAGAACTGTAGTTCCAAGGCATTGAAAAGGAATTAGGTTGGGGAAAGTGGTGTTGGCCTACATTTTCTGATGTTTGTACAATATGGCACCAATAGGTCGATTTTTATAACTGTGTAAATACCTTCATTATATATCTTGTAACAGTTGGATTGCAACCTTAAACACTTTTACTTGGGAATAAGTTACCCTAAATTTGGTGAGGCTCACTTATGAGTAAGCATGTATTGCATTGAAGTTCTGTTCCTATCTTGATAATGTAATTTATAAATGAAAAGATTTTAGAAATGGTAGTTTTGCTTATGTTTTGAAGTTAAGTATTCCTTTTCTAGAGTTAATGCTTCCTTCATGACCTCTGTATACCCTATCTCATATTTATACTTATACTCAACTGAAACTGGGCAAGTATTATTTGTACTGTATACCCTATTTCATATATGTATTTACTGTATACCCTATCTCTTATATATATATATATATATA